TGGGGTGAGTTTGACAAACCAATGATGGCTCACATAAAATAAGTTGAATAAGTCATCAACTTTAGTACTATATACTATTGTTTCTAGTAGTAGACATTTCTTCAGTTTTCCCTGGGATCTCATGTCTTTGGTGTTGCTAGCGCTTTGCTTGACTGCTTCACTAACAAATTTTCATTAAAAATTATTAAGTTTAATACAAATATTTGATATTTAGATGTTATTTAGGTTTAAATTTTCAAAACTTTTTATTAAACATTACAGGTGTATTATTTTATCTGTGACAAAAGCATAATATTATTATTTAACTATTGTTTACTATGTGCTTTTGGGATTTGTTTTGCTCATTATATTATACAACAGTTCTGTCTGGTTCTTGAATCTGATTGGGTGGTAGCTGTGTGATATTCCCATAATCACAACAGTCGTACAGCCTTCTCACTCTTGTGTATTACTCCGCCCACATAGAGTGGCAGCAGATGAATGAACACACCACAGTGTGACCAATATTGCAGCTGTTTGACAACATAATGTACATTTGAAGCTTTTTTAGGTGAGAATGTTGTTGTTTAGATTGAATCTATGCAGTTTATTTATAAGGATAGTGCCTATTTTTGATATTTATAATTTCTGAGATACTGTGCGTCAGCATCCATCAGCCTGTCATTGAGAGCAAAGACGGTTTATGTTGTCCATCCACAAGATGTCGACAGAGACCGCATAATAAGCCATTAGCAGAGAATAGATTTTCGTGTTTTCAAACTACAGCTCATTAAAACATTATTAAATTGGTGAGTGACATTCTAAGTCAATCTCTCTCTTTTGTATGTTGTATTTATACCATAGTAATTGAATTGAGTGTGAGATGGGACTTACAGTATGTCAGGAATGTATGTATTTTGTGTTGGGCACTCTTTGTGTAACCCTGAGTTAATTTTTCGGTTGACCATCTGTTTGTTTCTAATGAGTTTCTTGTTTTCGTTTCTGCAGAATAGTACAGCAAACAGAAAGAAGAAATGCCCGCTTGTGATAAGCGTTTTTCCTAATCGCAAACACAACAGAAATCTGGTAATGATTGCGCAGCTGTGACATTGGTGAAGTAGTAACGGTTTCTGCTGTTCTGATATCAGCTGCAAAATTGTCTTTTGGCTCCCTGGTAATATTATCATGCAATATTTAAGTGCAAACTCTTGAAAAATAAATTAAGCAACAACAGTTTGCACTTAGATATTGCTTGATAATATTAGCAGGGAGCCAAAAGAGAACCCTGAGTTCTAAGAAATTTGAGCCCAGGGCTGCCACCTGGTCGATGAGCATGTACAGTAAGGGGGTACGAGATCAGCTATAGTTCTTGAGAGCTCCCCCTGGTAAAGGAGGAAAAGGGGGAAATGGGGTGGATGGGGGATTCTTCAAAAAATTATGATAAGGGAGTAATACTAGATGGGCTATTTAGAGTGAGTTTGGATTGATTGAATTGGCTTACTAATGATTACAGATCAATCATATCACATGCTCTTATCTAAATTAGTTTGAGAAACTTAAAATCTAGCATTTAAAACTAATATTTTATTTCAATTAACAAATAAAGTGCGGACTTGGTGGTGCAGTAGGTAGTGCTGTCACCTCACAGCTAGAAGGTCGCTGGTTCGAGCCTCGGCTGAGACAGTTGGCATTTCTGTGTGGATTTTGCATGCTCTCCCTGTGTTAACGTGGATTTCCTCTGGGTGCTCCGCTTTCCCCCACAAGTCCAAAGACATGTGGTACAGGTGAATTGGGTAGGCTAAATTGTCCGTGGTGTATGAGTGTGTATGGATGTTTCCTAGTAATGGATTGCAGCTGGAAGGGCATCCGCTGTGTAAAAATATGCTGAATAAGTTGGCAGTTCATTCTGCTGTGGCGACCCCAGATTAACAAAGAGGCTGAGCCAAAAAGAAAATGAATGGATGAACATTTAAAGATATTTTTTGGAGGGTGACACAGAGGCTCAGTGGTTAGCACTGTCACCCCACAGCAAGAAGGTGGCTGGTTTGAGTCCCGGCTGTGTCAGTTGGCATTTCTGTATGGAGATTGTATGTTCTCCCCATGTTCACATGGATTTCCTCCGGGTGCTCCGGTGCTCCAAAGACATGTGGTATATTGGTGAATTAAAATAACTAAATTGTCCATAGCTTATGTGTGTGAATGTGAGAGTGTGTATACCCAGAATTGGATTGCAGCTGGAATGTCATCCGCTGTGTAAAACATATACTAGGTAAGTTGGTGGTTCATTCTGCTGTGGCGACCCCTGATAAATAAAGGGACTAAGCCGAATATGAATGAATGAGTTATTTGAGGAGATGCCAGCATTCAGTCAGCATATTTGTAATGTATTGAGGTCCTAGACCATTTAGTGATTTATAGACAAGTAATAAAACTTTAAAATATATTCTGAATGTAACTGGGAGCCAGTGTAAAGATCTGAGGACAGGTGTGATGTGCTCTGATTTCCTGGTTCTGGTCAGAATCCTGGCCGCAGCAATCTGAATGAGCTGCAACTGTCTGACTGTCTTCCAGTCTTGTTTCCAGCCTATCCAGAAGTATGCTGTGATCGACAGTGTCAAATGCAGCCCTGAGATCGAGCAGTACCAGCACTGTTAGTTTACCTGAATCTGTATTTAGGCATATCACTGATTATCTTTATAGTTGAAGTTTAAGAATTTGTTAACCTGGTTGAAAACAACTTTTTCAATGATTTTGCCAATGAAAGGAAAATTTGAGATTGGCCTGTAAATGTACTCATACTGAAACCTTCATCAATTTCTTGTGTTGAACACAGAACATGATATTCAAATGAATAATGAAAAAAAAAAAAAACAATCACATCCACGGTAAGTGAAGGGCTGTTTTTTTCCAACATTCTTCAGTCAATATATCTTGTTTTGTGTTCAACTGTAGAAAGAAACTCAAACAGGTTTGGAACGAGAAGAATTTTCATTTTTTGTGAACGATACTTTATATTATTAACTTTTTTTAATAGTCTGACTAATAATCAACCCAAGTAAAAATCCCTTACTTGTGAAACACTTCAAAACACCGTCTTTTTTAAACACTGCCACTGTGTTATAACAAGTATAGTGTAGGATAAAAACTCTCTGGTGTTTCACAGATTTTTTTTCTCCTCAGCTCAGAGCATTCAGTTTGCACGGTCTCTCTATATAGGAAGCTCTTTGCTGCCTTCGCTTTGGGCCAATTTTACATGCCTGTTTGAAAAGACTTCAGTGAAGGGCAGTCTGGAAAGTATCAACACGACCAAACTGCAAAGAAGTCCCATCTGCTTATCTGAGCTAGCAAGCTGCTTCTCGAACAGCTGATGTTACGATTATCGGCAGCACATGCTATAACGTGGCCTGAATATCCTCCAGAAGCAGCGAAGATGGAGTTATGGATGGAGGGCATTCAATACCTTAACAGCATTAAATAAAAATGAGATAGCTTGTGGTGAAACTGGAAGACGTAATGCTCAGGCTAATGCTTCTGCAATACTTTTAAGTCATTTACAGTAATGGGTCTGAACTTTAAAAATGTCTTTTATCAAGTCTGTTGATGGATGTTTAATTGGTCACAGTAGCTCACCTGCAATGCCACGGGTCGTGGGTTTGATTCCCAGACGCACTGATAAAAATGTATAAATTTAATGCACTGTAAATCACTTTGGATAAAAGCATCTGCCTAATGAATAAATGTAACTCAAATGGATCCTTTCAGATGGATGATGAAAAAACCCCTCTATTTTTTTGTCATTTGTGTGAATGAGTTCTGGAATTTAAAACCAGCCGTGTGACAGAAAACTAGAAGCCAGAAACATGTTTTTAAAAGTGGAATATTGTCAAAAATATATCTGTTACACAAGGTTAGTGAGGCAGGTAATGTTAAGGGGTGATCCAAGTTTTTATTTTTTTGTCTGTTCTTTTTGGTTTTTCATGACGCCTGCATTAACTAGTTAGACTTTTTATAAAAAGCAGGTATCGGTGAAATTTCAGCATGCCACAGGTCGAATACATAAATACAGGTGAATAAATCACTAGTGTATCAATGTGCTAATGCTGCGTTTTTATAAAGCAACATAATATAATAATTAGTCTTGAAGAGTTTCAAAGTCATCATCTGATAAGTGTTTGTTTCATTTTTTAACTGTCCGTCTGGAAACAAATGATATGATGACAAATCCTTTCATTCTGAAGAAAGCCATTGTCTTTACATCTTTGATAATTATCTAACAATTATGAGAGGCAATTAGGGACAATGGCGTGACAATGTTTTCGGGCCAGGTATAAAAACCTTAAACATAACAAATCGCCTAATGCTGATTGGTTGTTTTTTGTCACTTGGAAATATGTGATCAGATTTACAGTAGATCCATACTTTTGACTGTGAGTTTGATGGTCTGGCTACACAAAAAATACATAAGCCTGATCTTGTGTTTGCAACTGTATCCAGAATCCGCAGTCTTTCTAGACTTTGGACCTTACTTTTTAAAGAAATGAATATGCATAAAATCACTTTTTCTTTTAATAAAATAGTTGAATATTTGTAAACTTTAATATTTTTGTATACGCCACACACTTAAACATGATCACTGTCAGTTGTTCATTTATATGTTGTTGTTGTTGTTTTTTTGGCTCATTTGGGTAACATCTTTGTAAGTGGACATGGAGTTACAGTGTGTCTAGTCAGTAGATTGTCTGTTACATTCTACTCACTAGAAATAACTACATGTTCCATTACAGCTGAAGAGTTCAAATGCAAAAGTGCCATCTGAAATTTCTTCTAAATAACTGAACATAAACATAAGAGGGTGAGAAAAATGCTCATTTTAGAAAGAAATTTAAGATAGCACTTAGAGGCTTTTGCATCTATACTCTTCAATTCTAACCTTATACAACAATTAACTTGTACTCTTAAATGTACAATAGAGGGGAAAATGAGTGCCAGAAAAGCAGCAGTTAGAGATAGTGCTGTCTTACCAGCCATGTCAATTGCAAATGGTCTGTCGGCCTTCCAGCCTGTGTACCAACCGACCACTTTCCCCTTCTCCACCAGTGGACGCTCGTACCTCCGGCCTCCGACCAGTCCCACAGGCCACACTGACACTCTCCTAGTTGAGCGCATCTGCAAAAGACAGAGCAACTGTAAATTTTACAATAAAATGGCAAATAACTAGACCACTTTGCACGTTACTGTATATCTATGTATCTTTGGGCCTTTATTGTTCACTTAGGGTTCTTTTAGTGCGGTTTATGTAATATGTGTAGATTACTGTAAGTGCACATACTCAAATGTTGAATCAATTTGTATATTGAAGGGTTAGTTCCTCCAAAAATTGTAATTCTGTTTTTAATTTCTTCCCCTCATATCATCAAATCATCACTTCAATCCACTGAGACGTCTTTTTTTCATCTTCAGAACACAAATTAGGATATTTAGGATGAAATCCAAGAGCTAACTCATCCCTCTATAGACAGCAATGGTTCAGAGACATTCAAAGTTCAGAAAAAGAGCCATAAAAATTCTCTAAACATTGTATTGTACTTCAGCAGTTCAACTGTAATCATACGAACCTCCAAAAACACTTCAGTGCAGCAAAAAATTTAAATACTGTAGAAATTCTTGATTCTGATTAGATGAAGGATGCATTATTTTCGTTACAGCGCTTAGGTAGTTCCAGTAAGTTTTGATCACTGAAATAAATGCTCTTCTCCCAAACGTTCGTAGTTACCACTCACACGTGATGCACAGGAAGCCGATGAGTACTGTTAATAACAAACAAAAAATCCACAAAATTAGACAAATACTCATCAATTATGCCACAAAATCAAGTTTTTCAAGCTGCGCGGTGGGTGATCCTTCACCTCCATGTCGGACATTAAAATCCTTTAACACACGGCAAGTCGTTGATTATCCCATACATACAGTATATGTGTGCAAAAACAACATTTGTTCACCAATGTCTTCTGTATCAGATCAAGTTTTACTATGGGCAATACAACGATTCTGTGTTACACAGCTGACTTCAATGGCAAAATGTTGTACTGCCCATTTTGAAAATATTTTGTTTTCTATGCTGAGCATTGAACATCTCAGAACTAAGGATGGTAAACTAAGCTCTCAGATACTATCTAAAATATCCTAAATTATGATTTGAAGATGAGGGGATTAGAATAACACAAGAGTGAGTAATTAATAAAGGAATTTTCATTTTTGGGAGAAATAATCTTTTAAATATAGCTAGTAGTTTGAATTGCTGGTCACCTAAAAGCACGCAAGACAAATGTGGCTCATGAGTAAAAAAAAAAAGTCAATTTCAACACAATCCACAAAAGAATCATCATAAAATGAAGACTGGTTAAAAAACATTAAGCTACAGCTTTAACTTAGAGCTCTGGTGCTGACAACCATACAGAATACTTGTTCTATTATTTTTAAAGGAGTGAGTATAGCATCGCCACATACAGCGTGGCTTATTATAAAATCCTGGCTCATTTTCAGCATAAATAAGTCAGTCCACCTGCATTCAGCTGGAGCCAGCATGCATCGCTCTTCAGTTTCATAAACACCATCACATCTGATTGAACCACCCGGCAACACTAAAACTGTCATTTCCAACAAGATCCCATCTTCCTTGAGGAATTTTAAACATGCTGCTACTGAAAGAGTCCCCTTTCTCTTCCATTCCTTCATATATAATACAAAATAAAAACTATTTGCCACTGGGGGAATGAGCGTTGCTGCAATTCCTCAAACAAATGGTCAGAGTCGCCTTTGAATATTTAATGGTTGTGCTATTTATGTGAGTGCAGCACGCAGTCGGGTGACGTTGTCTGTGGCTGCCGGCCGTATGCAATGGACAAGCTTTGAAGCCCAAACTGCCGGGCCTTTAGCTGTGTTTCTAATGCCTGTCCTCCTCCCTCGCTTCAAAGGCTCCATCTCCATAATGGTGCTCTTAAAGTGTAACACAGCTCAAAGGCAAAGTCAGAGAATTCTCTATAGTAAAGAGACTGTCATCTGCAGGTGCCAAGCATCCTTTTGCATTGAGGATCACAACAAGAGCAACAGGCACAGCCATCAAATGCAATGTCACATACACAGATCTTTGTATTGAGCTCTCAGGCTACAGACGACGATGGCAAGGCATCTGTATTTGGCAGCTTTTGTGACCCACGTGTTTTCTGCAGGGACAGGGAATAAGAAATTCTGGCCCCATTTTGACAACAGAGTGCAGACACATAAATTTGTAGTAGACGAGTGTGTTCAATATCTTTAGAGAAGCAAAATCACCTTCGATAACACAACTGTACGTGCTGCCTGACAGTTCCGGAGAGGATTCAAACAATGCAACAGCAAAATTGGATCTAGAAAGGAACTATATTTCCAGGGAAAGACAAGTTACAACTGAGAACAATAAATCAGATGTAGAATTTGCTGTGATGTTGTACCGAAGCTACGAGGCAGGGTAGCAGCATAAATGTGACTTTTTCTGACAGTACATGCACAGCAAAATATGACAATAAAAACTTTTTAATTAGTCTTCTTTTCTCACGTTCAAGAATATCTGGAAATCTTTGAAACAAGAGAAGCTTTACTGCATATGTAGAGAAAAAAAATCAACACAAACGCTTCTCTCATTATTTTATTCTTGTGCAAAACAACTAGGATAGCACTTATTCCAATGTTTATTCTACTCTCTTTATCTGCCACAGCTCACTATAACCTCAGCTTAATTTATTTTTATGGTAAAGTACTGCTATTGAATTGGTCATTCAGTTACATTTTCAGTAGTGCTGCACATGCTCGTTGGATTTAAAGGTGCTGTATGTTCAATTTTTAAAGCATAAAAATAATAAAATATGATTGCAGACATTTAATAAACATGCCAAGTAAACCTTTTTTTTATTTGAAAATCATTGCTGAAGTCAGATTTTCTGCTTTGAAAATGTGAGTTGCGCTGTCTTTTTTTTTTTTGGTTCTTTTAACACACCCACTGCTACTTTAGCCAATTATAATTCAGCACCCCAGGTTGCCTTGGTGGAAAACAGAGTACTTCATTCATTCAGTCAGGAAGGCTTTCAAAGCATGCACTCGTGACCGAAATGTGACGTCCTGGTGAACAGTAGCAGACTTTGAAATGAGCCGCAGATTCAGAGTTCCACATGAGGTTATAAATGAGCAAATAATATAGGTTACATTTTAACCCTGTGTCCTAACAACACGCTATGTGACGAGATTTGCAGTGATTAGCAATTTGGCTGCTTGCATCAGACGAAACACGAAATTTAAATATAGCCATTCAGAAGCACAGAATACACACTCACTCACGGAATGATAAGGTTTATAATCTAATTAATACATATTAAACCTCTTTAACATTAAATGTAGATGCTGAATCACTGATACAGTATGTGTTGGTTTTGAGTCACAGTTCTGAAGTTCAATTTCAAACGGTATATTTCATTTTTAAGATCTGAGGTGAACTATCTGCTGCTGCTTTCAGTAGTATGGCAATAAATGTCATGTTAAACGACATTCAAACTCAAATTATTAGCATTTAACTCAGAAATAAAGCACATGAGGTGTACCTGAGGTGATCTATGACTAGGTTTACATGGACACCAATAATTCGATTTTAATGTGATTAAGACAATACTTTGATTAAGAGTTAATCATGTAAACAGCAATTCATTTAATCAAATTAAGATCATAAAGAGAAATCGAATTAAGACATGTGGAGTATGCAGATTTCAGTTGCATTATTAAAGCATGAAATGTTTGTGAATCAAAGTGAAAGTGCCAAACTGCAGTTAAAGTCTACAAATCAAAAATGAAACACCCAAAATTGCATGAAACTCCAGAGGAAATGCGGATATTGTGGTGACGCAATGATAATAATCGAATTATGTGCTATAACAATAAAGGATCCTGAAAGAAACATTGAAAAAGCAACTCATGTAAACACCTTAGTCTTATTATTCTCTTCATTAGATTAAAGCAAAAAATAAATAAAAAATTACTGATGTTCATAGAAATAAAAACTGTTTCTAATTTATAATATCAAGGAGTTGGTTAGAACAAAAATTCCTTTTAATATGGAGAATATTCCTTTGCGTCCCATTGCTTTTTATTTAAAATACAATTTAAATCAGCCTTTAGGCTCAAGACTCGCTCCTTTTGGTCCTGAATCTGACAACCTGCACCTGCGTTTGTTTTGATCCAGGAATGCAATAGATAGTTCAACCACTGGGTGTAATACTGCACCTTTAATGGTCTATCCGACAAAAAGAATGCTTGTAACAAAATGTTTTTTGTATCGATACTCTTGCATTGTACAAAAAAATATATAATAGAAGTCAATGGGATTAAAAACGGTTACCAAAGTTTATCAAAAATATTTAAAGAAAAGAAAAAAGAAAATTGGGTAATTATCAGTTTTTTGTTGTTGTTTTCATGGGAATTTGCATTCACTCATGCTTTCTAATTGCATGAATCCACATGAATCACATCTGTCTCTTCCACAGAAGAAAGTCATACAGATTTGGAAAAAGAAAAAAAGTGAAGGATGAGTAAATGATTACTTTATACTTTTATTTTTTTTTAGGGTACACGTGACTTTATTTTATCTGTCTACACATCTTTCTGACAATTATCTGTATTGTTTGCTGAGAATAGTACATTTAGAGGGTACTAAAACCACATGCACAGACAACTGTCTGACACATGATTTATATGTGAGTGGGTGAAGCTAAATGTCTCTTGCTGACTCTCTGATTGGAGTAATTTTTTAATTTCTATTGAATGGCAGTAAACAGGTTAACTACACAATATTTTGAATGTTGATAATGCATTGTTTGTGCAGCAAAGTTCTATGCGTACTTGATCCTCAAACACCTGCTGGCAACGTGCAAAGAATGTGTGATATCAGACATCGGTTATGCATACTTTAATCCTTCTGGCCAATAAATGCAAGGAGATATAGATACACATACTGTATACAACATGTCAACTGTACATGAAAAAGAACCACCCGAAACTGATGCTCAAATCAGACAGTGAAAACACACAAGTATAGCACAAATCTGGCACATTATTTACATAATTACATTTACAAATATTGTAAC